GGCCGTCAAGTAGGGGCGGGGCGCCAGGCCTTTGCCAACCGGCCAAGCCAACACGGCCGCGAATGCTTCTGCACTCGTCCCACGGCCAGGAAGACCGAGCAGGCCGAAAGCTGCCGCGTGCCGGCTGCACAGGGCCCGCGGCCCAGCAACCGCCGGAGCGGACAGGGCCCGAGCATAGCCGATTGTGATGGCCGGACGCTACAGAACTGAGAGGGCTAAAAGTAACAGCCCAAAGCCCGGCCCCAGTCCATGCCTGTGGTCAAAGGTAAGGGTTAACTGGTGTTGGAGGGGGAGTGACTCGTGTGCGCGCCTATTCGTTTCTCTCTCGGTGTCGCGAGAACGTTTCGTACGTTTTTTCCTCGTTGATGTGAAGAGGGCTGCGGGTGCCGGGGCGGGGGGCCGGCGTTGGGTGGGGGGTCCCGGGCGGGTGGGGCGGCTTGCCGCGTGTGACCTCGTCAGGGCTGTTTCGGGAGTGGGCGGGTTTGGTGACTGGCATTTCTGGGACTGTAGAGAAGGTGGTGAGTCGCGGTCCTGGGGGAGATTCGTAGTTCGGTCACAGCCCAGTCTGCGGGTGCTTGGAGAGGACGTTGCGGAGGTGGGCTGTTTCTGGGGGAGTCCCGTGATAGGTTAGTCGTCAAACTGAGTGTAAACCGGCAGTATGATTCGTGAACGCTGCCGGCCCGAAGCAAACGACCGTTGAGAGGTGGCGGATACTTCTGTAGAGTCCACCGATAACATCAACATTTATTTATTAGGTGACTGCTCAGATAGAAACCAGCGTCCGAGGTGTCGGCGCCGGAGTGACCGGTTCACTTCTTCGCGCGAGGTGGACCGCGGATATGGCCGGGAACTGTCGGCACTGACGGGACGGCGACGACGGCCCGGCGGCGCCCCTTGTCCGACGCGGTGCCGTGCGGGTCACCGTGGCCGCCGGCGCCGACGCCGCCTCCCCGCGTCCCGTCCCCCGCCCTCGCCTCCTCCCCTCACGCATCCCCGTCACCCTCCCTCTCGCTCCGCAGAAGCCTCCGCTACCGATAAGCCGCCGCCCTCCGTCCCTCGGGGCCGCACCCGGCGGCTCATGGGTGCGATCGGACGGGGCCGGGCCGGCGCCCTTCGGTGGGGCGGTTAGGCCGCCACCGTGTGGCTCGCGGAGATGAGGTTCGACGCGCGGGCGCTGGGGCGCGCACGGGGGCGGGCCGGAGTCGCCGTGTGTCGGCGTGTCTGGGGGGCGGCGCGTGGCGAGGAGAGCTTCCGTGCGCGCACCCGCGCTGACTCTGTATGGGGCCACGCGCAGATCGCTAGCCGGATATCAATGCGTAGCGAAAAGCCGCGCGCCTGGCTCTGTGGGCGCCCGCTCGCGCGGGCGCACGGGGGAGGAAGAGCAAATCGGGTGAAGAGACTTCCGGGAGGCAGGGGGAAGGATTTGGTGGTAAAAGGTGCGTCCAGGTTTCTGGCGGCCCGTGGCGGCGGCGCTGCGAGATTTACTCTTTGGCCTTAGAAGTGACCTTAACGTGGTTTTTTTTTGGGTAGGAAGGTACTTATTATACCTTTATAGCACTCATTTAGCTATACCAATTACTCTAGCATTCACGCACTCTCCACGTTTGTTTCATAAAACAACATGTGTGAAATATGCGAGAATCCTTGTATTTGGGGAGCTGGACAGTTGGGAGGCGGGCACCCCGGCGCAGCGTCCTGCCACTCCTGGCAAGACAGAGTTGGCCGATGTTGGGCGAAGAAGTGATGTTGCACGATGTTGAGGCAAGGGTGGGGTGTGGTTGCGGGCGAGGGGCGCTATGACCAAAAGTGAAATTAGTATTTATACACGTCTAAATGCTATCGTTAAGCGAGAGTGGATATTGCGTATTGTGGTGTGTGGGGTAGGAGCACTTAAGTTGCCGTATTCCATGTCAGAAGCAGTCTGATGAACTATATCTGCGTTGTTGATACACTATGGTGCAGGGAGTCTTTCTGTGCTAAATCTACTAAGTCAGAGGAAGACGCCTCGGGTCTGGTTAGCTGAGGTGCCCGGTAAGACATTTGGCTTTTGTTGGCCGCAACTTTCCCACCCGTGGGGCTCGCTCTGCCCAGTCGGGCGCCACGGCGTCCGGGTTGTACTTAAGCATTATGTATGAGGTCGTTCAGGTTGCTAAAACATTTGTTGTTTTTCAACCCTATGTTTCTAATAAATGTTTTGAGAGCATTAGAAGATTTTATGAAGCCATTAATTTTATCCTGACAATCGCAAATGAAAATAACCCCCTGTGATGCCAACTAGAAGGGCGTCACCGTGATTTCCTTTAAATTACTCGTGCTTCGAATGCCTTACAGGAGCCTTAACTTTCTGTGGCGGGGACCGGTGATACTTGGTAGCGTGGCTTGGTGGTATGCCTGATAAGTCGTGAGGGCGTTCAGCAATGCACGGATGGTGAGTGTGGAAACTGGATCTGTTATGGTACGGGCATAGCGCTCGTTTGTACGTGGGCGTAGTCTGCGCCACTGCTCTGTGCTTGTTCTACGCCCGCTTCGCGGGCTCCGGGTGTGTCTTATGAGATAGTCGGGAATGTCGACCCGCGAGACGACGCCGAGGCGGGCTCTGCGGAGCTGGTCGGGCCGCGCGCCGTGGGGTCTGCGGGTGTGTGCTACGGCGAGGCGGGCAGAGGTTGCCCACCACGATCGTCTTAACCTGCCAAGTAGAGACAGCCAGTCACACCGGCCGTGGCTGTCAGGTCTGGCATGGATTGTCGTTACCTGACCAGGTGTGGTGGGGATCAGTCTTCTTTGAAACATTTATTGTTCGGGAAGGGGCCGCTAGGGGTAGGGAGGATATGAAAGTGTGATATATATAGAGTGAGGCTGTGGGTTGGATACTGAGCGGGTGGACTGGATTTGGATTTAGTGGATGCGGGACTCGCCTAGGCTGAGCTCTCGTCGTAGGAGGGGGATATGGTATATGCGAGCTTCGCACGTAAGGACAATGTGGCGGGAATATCGTTTTGTCTTGGGCAGGACGGTTGCGGCGGGGTTTGAACTGTGACGTGGGTCGTGCTAGATTATCCGCAGATCCAATAATCACAAGAGGTCAACTACTACTAATACATAATGGCACAGGGAGCTGATACGTCCACGGTTCGAGATAATAACTAATCTGAAGAACGTTTACGTAACATATTTGGTTACCTCGAATCTGAATAGTGAGGCTAATGTGACAGATATATGACTTAAAAGGAGGGCATTTTCTGACCGCGGAAAGTCGACTCGCAACTCACTGTCTTGAGCTAGTTTCTAATAAGAAAGCGAGATAGTGGCGCCGGGGCCACCTGGATCGCAATGGGCCGCTTGGCGCGTTATCAAGAGCGTATTAAGAGGACGAGCGCTACAACGGGTGAATGCTCGACACGCAGTTGCAGTATTAGTCGAATTAAGAGAGAAATTGCCCGTTTTATTTAATGACGATTGCTTTGTGTATTATTGATCAACTGTCTACCTTGCCTAGATATAAACAAACTGCTTCGCGTCCCTCGTAAGGGGCCGAGGTGCCTTCGGTCTGAGTGGGGATTGTATTATGGGGGAGCCGGCCGGCTGGTTAGGAAAGATGCTGGCTGGTGATTGGGTTGTATTCGCTGGTTGGGGTGCGGGGGGGGGGAAAAGGACGGCGATCTCCGAGACCACTGGTTTGTTTGCTGCGATTTGATGTGAACATCGATGCCAACAATTCTCGATGCTTCCTCTTGTCATTATTGGGGGCCCGGGGCCGGGCTGTAGTCTCCGGAAGCTTCGAGTTGGGCGGTCGTGGTGGGTATTCGGGGCCGTCGGTCTTGGAGTGCTCTGCGATCGTTGCATGCTGCTTGCTAACGATGCGTCAAGTCGTGTGACTCGCCCTGGCGCTGTAGACGCATGCCCGGTGTCCATGCCCGGCGGCTGTCCGGGAGGTCGAAGGATTTTTGACCAGTTGGCTGGCGGCTGATGAACATCGGCGCAGCTAGGGACCCTCACTCGGCATCGTTTTAGGAAGTCAAGTGATAAGTAGTGTCAATAGTAGATAGGCTAGCCGCGGTATTCTTCTCTCTACACGTCTATCTCACGCTGCTCTCGCTTTCTCGCTTCTCTCTGTCTCTCTCCTCTCTCTCTCTCTCTCTCTCTCTTTCTCTCTCTCTTTCTCTCTGCTCCTTCTCTCTCTCTCTCTCTCTCTCTCCTCTCTCTCTTCTCTCTCTCTCTCTGCGGGTCTCTCTCCGGCTCTCCTGGGTCCTTCCGTCTTCTCTTCTTCTCTCTACTCTGCTCTCTCTCTCTCTCTCTCTCTCTCTCTGCTCTCTCTCTCTGCTTTCTCTGCGTGCGTCCCTTATCTCTATTCTCTCTCGTCTCTCTAGTGCCTCTGGCCTGTCTCTCTCTCTCTCTCTGTGTCTCCTGCCTCACTCTCCTATGGCGGGACCCCTGGTCTCTCTGTCTTTCGCCATCCCGCACTCACTCTCTCCGGGCGCCCGCTGTTCTTTCTTCTCATCTGTTTTTCTCTCTTCTTCTTCTTCTCTCTCTCTCCTCTCTCTATCTCTCTCTCTTCTCCTCTCTCTCGTGCTCTCTCTCTTCCTTCCCTCTCTCTGGGCCCTGGCCCTGGCGTGTGCGCTGCTTTCTTCTCTCTCTCGTCGTGTGGCTGCTGCGGTCGTGCGGTCTCTCTCTCTCTCTCGTTCTCTGGCTTCCCCTGCTCTCTCTCTCTCGCTCTCCCTCTCTCTCTTTCGCTCTCTCTCTCTCTCCTCCCTCCTCTACTTCTCTCCTTTCTCACTCGCTCTCTCTCTCTCTTGCTTCTCTCTCTATCTCTCTCTCTCTCCGCTCTTCTCTCTCTCTCT